CCTAACTATAGATTCCGCTGCGTTAGGATTTATTTCGATAAGTTCAATACTGTGCATGTTGTTTGACGTTCCTCACAGAATCCAACAGTTTCAACCAACATAAATCAATATCCCGAGGAGATTAAATCTAATTATAGTCCCTGGCCATTTGCCAAATGCGGATTTGATTTAATTGGACCACTTGAGACTGCAATGGGGGGAGAGTGAAGTTCGTCATTGTTGTTGTGGATTATTTTACAAAATGGGCAGAAGCAGAGCCGTTAGCAACGATCACCGAACAAAAAGTAATTGATTTCGTCCAGAAATCAATCATCAGTCGGTTCGGGGTTCCTAATTCAATCATAACCGACAACAGACGTCAATTTGAAGGGAGAAACTTGATGAGTTCTGTGAGGAATATAGAATCAAACACTTTTTCTCTTTCCCATATCATCCACAATCCAATGGGCAAGTAAAAGCAGTAAACAAAGCCATCAAGAACGGTTTGAAAACCCGACTTGATGCTGCAAAAGGAGCCTGGCCCGAGGAATTACCCCATGTTCTATGGGCTTACCGAACAACACCTCGGGTATCAACTGGAGAAACACCCTTCGAAACCTTTCGCCCCAGGGGGCCTATTTAGGCCCTATTACTCCCCTACTATAGGGGAGTAATTGCATGATTCCAGATAAACGACGAAGTGAAATATACATTAACGCTAAAGTCAGACCTTGGATGTACCGAGTTAGCGACTTAGTTCTCAAAAGGATCACCGGACCCGACCCAAGACCACTGAAACCGAAATGGAGGGCCTTTTCAAAATTAGTCAAGTCTTACCGAAAGGTGCTTACCGACTAGAATACCCTGACGGAACTCAACATCAATACCCGTGGAATGCTGCCTTTCTCAAGAAATATTACCAGTGATAAACGAACAGAGATGTAAATTTTTCTTACCTTTTATTGCATTGTAATAAAGGACTTCTTAATTTTAGTTTTCTATAATTGTTCATTAATCGAACCCTAAAGTCGGTTTGATAAAGGCTACTCTTTTGCCAAATCCTGAAGATCATTTGGTGAGGTTCGTTCTTTGACCGGATCCTGAAGATGATCTTGTAACGCCCACATTTTTATTTACTATTTATGGAACTCGACTATATTTACATAAATATTAAGTTTCCTAATTTGATGCATATATTATTATTAATTGCATTAAATTGAATAATTAGTATTAAAATCTAAGTCATGGAGTATTTATTCAATTTTAGTTATTAAAGTCGGATTTAATTAGCCCAAGTGTCGGTTGTATTTTTAAAACCGAGCCTTGGATTAATCAGAATTTTACTTAAGCGAATCGAAGCCGAATAATTTAATTATTCGAGCCCAATCAATTTTGTGCGAACCCAATTATTCTAGCCGGCTCATTTAAATAAATAATCCGAAAAGTCCAATAAACAAACTTGGCCGCACCCGTACACGACCAGTTTTGCCAGTTGGCAACACCATGCACGACCGCAATTACCTGTTGGCCGCACTGTGCATGGGCCGATTTGCACTGATGACCCATATCCAATCACACCATATACAGTTGACCCTAAAAATTTTTTATTGTTGCAACCCAATTTAGATCCGGGTTCAAAGCATAGGGTGAGAGAGGGATAGCCGAAACTGGCCACATTCCCACAATGAAAATATCTTTGGTGACGTGGCGAAAAAATCTTTTGAGATCCCGCCTAAAGCCCCAATTCCCAAGCCCGCGCGTAGTCTACCTCATTCAATTCGCCTCACTTGCCTTTCATATAATTGATAGTAATTTTATCATAGATATTTACAAATCACAACGAATCTCTCTCATTATCTCTCTCTCCATAAAGATTTTTTCGTTTCCTCTAGCGAAACCCTTACCCTGAGTTTTCTGTACAAGGTACTACGCTGCTTCGACAGATTTTTCTTCTATTTTCCCTTTATTAATTTGATTATTATTTACTCCTTTTTTTTTTTGTTTTCCCGATGTTCAGATGACAGGAGGAAAATCGAAGGCCGATTCCAGGAAGGCCGACAGCAGGTGAACTTTTATTTTTTTCATTGTTTTATTTATATTTTTATTGTGATTTTTCGTTTGCTGGACGATTTAACATCTGTTTGTACAGATTTAGGTTTACAGATTTGCACAATCTGTAAGGTTTTTTTGGGTAATGTTGTGTTCTATGATGTTGACCTTGATGAAAATGAATTTTGTTCAGTTTGTTTTGTACTCGCGGATTTATGTTTGATTGTTATGATTTAGCTGATAGAAAATCAACCATCCATTAGCTCTTCTGTTTGGCTTTGCTGGTCTTGATCGTTCTTTTAATTATATACAGTTAAATTTATGCATGATATGTTTCTCTGGCTTTACTTGATTGTTGTTCTACTATCCTTGGAAATTATTTGATGTTTTTGCTGCAAGTGAAATTGCAGAGGAACTTGCACTGATCAACTTTCACCATGACCAACAATTTTTATGCTTTGTCCTATTTTTTACAATTTTCCTGCAAACAAAATAACACCGTGACCTTAGTTATCCTTCATTTATTTAATTGAAGTATAATTTTTCAGCTTTGTTCCTGCTGACTTGCCTGAGAAAGTGTATAATTATGGTTATATATTGTGATGATATTAGGCTTGCTGTGAAGAAGCAGACTAAAAAGGCTAAGAAAGCTGCAAAAGATCCAAACAAGCCGAAGAGGGCTCCAAGTGCTTTCTTTGTGTTCATGTATTACAGATCCCACTTTCTAATATTTGACTCCTCGACTTTTAGTTCTATGTATAATCTTTTCAATTCTTGATACTTCTTGTGAAGTGCCGATGAGTAGTCTAAAATTTGGTGTCATTCTGTTTGTGGTTGCAGGGAAGGCTTCAGGAAGCAGTACAAGGAAAAGAACCCCACCAACAAATCTGTTTCTGCTGTGAGTAACCTTTTTCATGTTTCATTTTTTTTTCCTTTACTCTCTCTCTCTCTCTCTCTCTCTCTCTCTCTCTCTCTCTGATTGTCTTAGTTTAACTTGGGTCCATGAATTATATAATATGTAGTTTCGTGGTTTTGTCTGATAAAGTTAATGTGGTGTATAGGTTGGTAAAGCTGGTGGTGAAAAGTGGAAATCCTTGAACGAAGAGGTGATCATTATTCCAAGATATAATTTTGTATTCTTTTGCTGTCTATTTACTGACTTCATGTTGGTAAAACTTCTGATGTCACAAAATAAATGTGAAAATATTAGGAAAAGGCGCCCTTCAATGCAGAGGCTGAAAAGCGCAAGAGGGAATACGAGCGCAAAATGGAAGCATACAACAAAAAATTGGTAATCACTTATTATCAGTAATTATGTCGAATATTATTTCTTTTATCGACAAGCGTCGAATGTCAACGTATGTGGTATTTATCAATGGTGATAGGCTGGCGGAGATGATGATGAGTCCGACAAGTCGAAGTCAGAGATTAATGATGAGGAAGATGAGGAAGGAAGTGCAGAGGTCAGTTGTTATGTTGAGTCCAATTAATCTTGTATAGAGCATTTGCAACAATTGTTGACAATTATTCATCTTTTTTCATATTATGTAGGAGGAAGAAGATGACGATTAAGTGCAAATAAAGGCGACCAGATTCTCTTTAGCTGCTTGAATTTCTAACATATGTAAATTTTCTTTCTGTTGACATTGTTGGAGGATTTTCTGGTTATGGATTATGATTTGCCTTGGGTTGGCACTGTTAGCTGCATACAATAGTGGGTTTGCAATATGGGATGCATTCTGGTTAGGTTCTCCTCTTTTTAAATTAACTGATGCACATTTATGGTAATCAGAGATTCAGAATTAATGATTTCTTGTTCGGTTTGAATATATTTTCTTTAATGGATGATTACAAAGGCTCCTTGAGGCTTTTGAAATGTCATAAGAATTTTATTTTTGTTTGACACTGAAAAAATTAGGGCTTGACGTGGGTGTTTCCAAAAGATGCAGTTGTAAATGTAGACATTAATTTGAAAGTTGACTAGGTTATTGTTTGGGTCAAATTTCAAGAGTGTATTTGAAAAATTAACTATGTAATTTTCTTTTCATAATTATGTTATTAGCCTCATTAACTTTGTTGCTTCTTTATTTTTATGTACTACCAACACTTCCATTGTTTTTCTTAACATAGCAATATTGTAAAACTTTGATTAATACAAGGCTTGAAGTCAATTGACATTAACATAATTGAGCATCAAACATAAGCCTAAAATTAATTGTAACATGCCAAAGGAACACACATATCCTACTAATGAATTGCGTGGCATGTAAATAAACACAAGTCTTGGATGACATGTATAAAAGTATGTAAAATTAATATACCTGGGTCTAAAACAGACATAAGATTAGGTCGAGTCTCTTTTTCTGGTTGTCACATCAGCAGGACCCAACTACTTTTGTTTGCATTGGAGAATACTATTTTTTAGACTAGGTCTATTATGTGGCATACAATTTTTTGTGATTGAACCCAAAGCATTGTGGATACTCTAAACCACAAAAAACTACAATCTGAAATACAAATTTGCACAAGATGGAATAAAATCAGTATTTTACGTAATTAGACCAATCTTCAATTATGGCGAAACTAACAAGATCACAAAAGATAAATCATTACAAAACTAAAACACACAAAACAATAATACAACACAAAGGCGACGCTTAACCACGGAACAAACAAACTACACACCAAATACCAAACACAAAATACTTGAGGACTAAAGCGCTCTGATGGACAACGAAGCACAGTTTGAGTGGTAAAAAGCTTCACCTTTGACCGATCATGTGTCGAGTCGCCGATGAGAGAAAGTGGGAACACTATTTGTCCTTTCTTTAAAAGCAATGAGAGAAAAAAAACCCTCTGATGTAACAAAACGATTGAGAGAATCAAGAGAAAACTCTTAATATATTTTATTTCAATCAAAACTCAACTTACTAAAACAATAGAAGATGTGTCTTTAAATTTAACTCGTAACCCTAAGTAAATATCTCGCCAATAAGTAAATAACTCTAATAAAATAAATAAATTTCTAACAAATTTAGGATGCCCTTTATAATTTTTTTTTTTTTTTTTACCGGAACGATAAAAGTTTTATAAAATGCACAGATTGCAAAAAGAAAACTAGCCAAAGGCTGAATGATACAACCAACGGCTAAATGGACTGAGAGGTAGACCCGAAGATCGCCTAGAGTCGTACCTTGCAATGCTAGAAAACACAAACACAACACTACAAAACAAAAACTACCACTATCTCCCAAACATGAGACTAAATGATCACAAAAAGAATATTGCTCGAGTGCGAATCGATCCCAAACAGACCAAAATTAAACAAAACAAAACAAACACTACACGAAACAAATTGAAACAAAAAGAGCCCTTACCAAGCAGCTAGACTAAGCAGAGCCAACGAAACCAAGTCTACCCAACATAAACCCCACAAGCAAAGAGGACCAACCCCAAAACTGCCCAACACCAACTCAGTGGCCTAGTGGAGTCAAAATCCAGGCCCCAGAACATCACCTAAAGTCATTCGAACCATAACCACAACACTTAACTGGCATAGAACCGCCACTGTACTGAACCTTCTAACACCACTAGTGAGTACGACAGTACCGGTGAACCTCCCGAAACTCATAGCATGAGAACATGGGGAGAGAGAGCAAGAAGATGTCGAGGCCGCAGACTCGACCCTCGAACTGCCTGAATCTGCCAAGATCCACCCACCCACCGCGCTATCCCGTCCAACACCACTGGCCAAATGACGGAGCAACGGTCCTCCCTGACCCAACGCCAGAACACAAGGGGGAAAGGCCGAGAACCGCGACGAAGCTCCGACCGCCCGACGCCAACACCGCCAAACGACCAAGGCACCACCCACCTAACGAAATGCACCTTGGAAGTCGTCGACTTGAGCTCTCGAGATGACGCTGAATGTTGTCCTTGAAAGTCAGAAGCATACATGATATAGGATATTATATGTATTGGATCGATCCGACGGGTTAACAGAATCAACCGAGCTGACTGCGCTGGTCAAAGGAAATGCGTGTTGAGCTATGAAGGCCTCGAAATAGAAGGTAAGTGGATTTGTAAGGGCTGGGTAAGTCTCGACATGTAGAGGGTTTGGTCGAAACGCCAGATAGTCAAGCATATCTGAAAGTGATCGCTTAGACGCGGTCGAATCTAGAACTGACAGAAAGACGCATGTTTGTCTCATTTTTGTTGCGTTTTTTGTTATTTTTTTGTCTTTCTTTTCCCCCATTTTGAGTCGTTTAGTCGAGTTTTAGTTTATTTTATGGTTTATTTAGTGTTTTGCTTTATTTGGGTATTTCTTGTGTTTTTTCGGTCGTTCTCCGGTGGTTTGTCATTTTTGGTGCGCAGGCTATAGATCTCGAGAGGATTTATTTTTGGGAAAAAAATCTTTTTCACCCCAATACAAAGATACATTAAATTTTTCACACTGCCCAATAAAAAGCTAAGTTTTTCACCCCAAAAAGTGCGAAGGATATGCGAAAACTGTCGCATATTCATCGCATAACTATCACATGTGCGAAGGTTATGCGCAAAACTGTCGCATAACTATCGCATATCAATTACTGTCGCATATTCATCGCACAATGCCTTCACACTTTAACTTGTTTCCACAGAAAGTGCGAAGGATATGCGAATGCCTTCGCACTTTCACCTTTCGCACAATGTCATCGCGCAATTGTCGCATATCCATCGCACAATGCCTTTCGCAATTTCTGGGGTGAAAAACTTAGCTTTTTATTAGACGGTGTGAAAAACTTAACAAGATTTTAAAACGGGGTGAAAATAGCTATTTTCACTTTATTTTTCACGATGAGTGTGCTGGGCGAACTTAAATTAAGAGCGTATTTCGTTGGGAGTACACAAGAATATACGGAATCAAATTTCGAGTACAAACGAAAGTATACGAGCCCGAGACATAAAGTTGTGTGAGCCGTCCATTGATGTGCCCAGGCCCCGTGCCGTGCTTGTGCCACGACACGGCCAGAAGACAGAAAATGCACCCCGCGCCGCGAAGACTGCCGCGCCGCGGCACCTGTTGCCAAGCTCTCCCAGCCAGCACCCAGCAGACCTCGTGACACCCCTGCGACGTGACAACCAGCTACCCCGCGCCGTGCCAAAGCCTCCGCGCCGCAAACCCAAGACCTGTCGCGCCGCTGTGATGGTGCCACGCCGTGAAGGCTATCTTTTCCACGTCGTGAGCTGCAGCACGCCGTGGAGGATCTACCTGCTCCTCCCCGCGACAACCCCACGTGATGGACAGAGCCTCAAGCGACCCCAGCTCCATGCCGGGATCAATGCCACGCCGCGAGTAGCCTGCCTGCCGTTCCACGCAGAGGTGCCGCGCCGCGAGAAGAAGCCTTGCCCCGTCCGTGCCGCTACCCCACGCCGCAAAGGGAGTTCCTATCGCGCCCGTGAAGTGCTCCGCGCCGTGGTGCCATACAAGTATAAATATGAGATCAGGAATTAGTCGGGCATTATTCTTTCACGCAAATAAAAGACCGAACCCTACCTCTCTTCTTTCTCTCTCGTTTATAAATTTTATTTCACCGTTTTTCATCGTGAACAAGGATTTGACATCGAATTTTGCTATTGCTTTCAGAATTAATCTTGTTTATCGAAGTCGGCATTGATATTTTATCAATTGTAAGATTTCCTTTTAACTCTATCGTTAATTATGAATTCTTGGGTTGTGATGAATGTTTTTGTTGTTTCTTCGACTATGAGTAGCTAAATCCGTAGGCTAGGGATAAGGGATTAATGATTTGACTTCGATTGTGATTGTGGGATTTGATGATTGTTCGTCATATGCAAATTGTTCTTTATTAGGGTTTTTCAATAATCGTACTTGAGTTTTGAGAATTGTTGAAGAGTGACACTTTAATTCCAATTAATTCAATTGAGTTTGATTAATTCGTGTTTGATATTGGGGAATCATTTGATTAGTCGTTTAACCACCTTCTAGTCTTATTCTTATCGACTCTTAGAACAGAAAGGGAAGGAGTCGGTCGAAATAGGTTTGCATACGCTAAGCTTGTTCGTAACTGTATTTCCTAGGAGTTTAATGACTTGGTAAATCGTCGTTCTAGTTTGTTCTCTTGTTACGAAGAGTTATTGAGGATGAGTACTAGAACGTGCAATTTATTCAAATCAATTAACTGAACAATCACTGACCCATTAATTGCTATTCAATTCAGAACGGATATCCCCTACTGCCTAGCTTCTCAAATCTTGCTTGTTCTATGTGTTAAATTGCTATTTTATTGCTTTAGTTAAATATCTGCAGTAGTTGATAATTGGAAACCAACCTTTAATCTGAATGAGAATGTTTAGGATTTTTATTTTCCCTTTTTGTGCTTGAATAAGCGTACAATATATTCCGGCTAACCTTACTCGTGAGACACGGCCCGGTGTTCGAATCTTTCGATTCTACTCCGGTAAAAATATTTACAACAAAAATTGATTCCGTTGCCGGGGAAGGTTTATGACATATTTTGTGCGCTTATTCGCTTGTTTTTCTGTGTTTCTCTTTATTTCTTTTTATTTGT